TTTTTTTTTTTTTTTTTTTTTTTTTTTTTTTTTTTTTTTTTTTTTTTTTTTTTTTTTTTTAGAAAATGGGCAAAAGAGCACCTGTTCTTTTATACCTCCTCTTCTAGAAATGGTAGAAAAAAGCTGAATAGTTTGGTTCAAATGTTACTGAAATAGGGAATTTAACATGTGATCATGCTTGATAATCCCTGTCTTTAATGCCTTTAATGTAATGGCTTTCTGTAGGAAGGAAACCTATGTGCATAACAGTATTAAGTGTTGATTTCCTTGTTAGCCAGAATCTTACATGGGAGTTAAAATAATATCTCTTCTGCAGACATTTGTATTTCACCTAAATGCCTGCAAGGAAGCCAATTTCACTAGAGCAACATTAACACATTCATTTATTTTGGTAATGCCTGAACAGGGCTTCAGTTTTTAAAAAAATGAATTCTGAAGATTATAGTGTAGGGTTGAAAGTGGTTATTAAAAGGTAGAAATCAATACTAATCCAGGACCGACTGGAAACTTGCAGAATCTATTAAAAAGTTTATGTAACTTGAGGCAACTTTCATTTTACTCAACTATTTTAATGTGCAATATTATTTAGAATCACAAGAATTATAGAAATAATTTATTAACTACCCTTTAATCCATGGGAAGAGTCAGTCTATGCAAGAAGAGCAGGTTGCTGTTATTCATGTACATAATGTATTTGAAAAGGATTGGCATGTTAGGATACAAAAAATATTAAGTGGGATTCAGTATCCCAAACAATTATTTTGATTAGTTCTTTATTTATAATGAAGACATTCTAGTGCCAGCATACTAGCAATGTGAATATATATTCAGAGTGAACACATTTAAAGTGGCTTAAACTGAAAATCTCACTTTGATGTAGCATTATTACAAATTATGATCAATTTATGAAACTTCATACCTTCTGTTTGCTTCATTGTCTTGACTACTTCAGGAAAGAAAATTTAAATACATATATTTCAATGTATTAATTATTAATCTTTCTTAACTGCCTTGTTTCAATTGTTTGTAGCTTGATTGGGACAAATACAGCTCTATACACATGTAATCTTAACAAACCTTTTGAGGATTAGAAATTACAAATACTGAATTTAAAAAGTTGGTTAATCAGTTGTATAATTGTTGGCCAAAAGATTTATTCAAGAGTGATTACGTAACAATAACACAATCTTTAACCAACCATTAATGTATATTTAGTGTGGTACTTACATATTTGGCATTTTATGAACAGTGAAACCTGTTTTCAGCCTTAAGGAATTTAGACTGAAAAGATAAATACAAGTCACAAAACTTTAGTCAAGGTAAGAAAATATAAAAAGCTTGGGGGTGGGTGGGTAAGAATGAGCAGCTTACATATGAGAGTGTTCTAAAGTTTGAGATCTTGATTTATAGTGGGTTTATAAAAGTGTGTAACAGTAGTTACTATTAGGATAATAGAAACATAGTTGAACATGGTCATTTGGTTCATTGAGTGATTGCTCCAGGTATGTATGTACTATACAAGCCCCCCTCTGCCCATAGATGCTCATACCCTGCTTAGAGCAGGGATCCAGTAAAGTATTCATGATAAATGATTTTATATCTTCTGTCTGATTAGATTAGAGCTACAATCTCTTCATAATCCTTAATAGACATTTTATAACTTCTACTTTAAACTCCTGTTACAACCACTTTTTTAAACATTCAGTAGCAGTTTATCTTTCTATAACTTAAATCTATTAAATACTCTGGAATAGAGTCTAGGTCTTGGCATCCTTTCGATATTATCTCTACTCAGTCATCTGAAAACATAAATTTGGGGGGTGGGGGTTGTGTATATTTATTTATACAACTTTCTTCTGGTTGTTGGAACCTTTCTCAAAGAACAGCATTCAGAACTGAAACAATATTTGGGTCTCACCTATACAAAGTAAAATAAAACTACTATTTTCTATAATTTGTAAATTAAATTTTTCTTGTCATAGCTTAAAATTATATTCCCCCTCACTTTTTTGCATTCATATCACATTACTAACTTGCATTCAATTTGTAATCAATTAGTCTTTGAAGATCTTTTTGAGTAAAAAAAAACTGCCTCTGTGAAATTCCATCCAATTTAAGTTAGATTCTAGTTTTGAAATGTCAGTTAATTTTATAAATGTTTCGTTCACTTAGAAAGTGTACAATCTTCCTGGGCATACTTAATGTATGTGTGCTTGCACATTCTTTTGAGTCAGTGTTGACTCCTGGCCACTGCCTGGACAAGTTCCTGCAGTTTTCTTGACAAGTTTTCAGAAGAGGTCTACCATTGCCTGTATCCTAGGATTGAGAGAGTGATTGACCCAAGATCACTCAGTTGCCTTTGTGCCCAAGGCAGGAATATAACTCATGGTCTTCCAGTTTCTAGCATGATACCTTAACCACTACACCAAACTGGCTTTCTCTGGTCTGGTTTTGGGGCCCCTTAATTCATTTTGATGATAGATAGAACATTTGCTTTACTGCAGTCATCTGGCACCTCAGCAAGTTTTTTTTAGAATTTCTAAACAAATAGTACATACAAGTTTGGCCGAACCCTCAATAAATTTCTTCAGTAATCTAGAATGGGGATCATCCAAGTCCTGAAAATGTTGGCTTATTTGAAATAAAGAGGTACCTCCCCACCCCAACCATGTAGATATCTACCTCAGGCATTAATTTTACCCCTCCCTCCTCTTCAGAGTTGCCCGATAGAGCACATGACTTCTTGTAGGGGAGAACTGAGATGAAAAAAAAAATGGCTTTGATTTATTATGCTACTGTTTTTGCCATCTTCACTTATTGAGTGATTATATGTCATCAAGTATTTTCAACTCCTAGCAATCACATATATTTTCTCCATGATGATTATCTCTTATTCCTTCAGGTCTCCCAGTAGTACATTCATCATCACCATAACTTGAGTCCATCAATCATGCTACTCCTCCTCTTCTCTTTCCTTCACCTTTCCCAGTGAGCTG